TGCCCCAGACTGCTGTATCACACTCCATCAACATCCAGTTTGCCCTCATCCATCGGTAAAAGCAGCTCCAGGACACTTTGAGGCAAACAATACAAAAACAGCTGATCCCACTCGCAAATGATGAGATTCCCACTTACACATTCGCATTAGAACCCCGTTAGGCAGGACAACAACAATGCAAGTAATGGACGAGCGCACGCCAGTTGTTCTCTCTAACGAAAAACGGAAGCAGGGGGCAGGGTGCATTACAAAAAATGGGTAAAAACGGTCAATAGCCCGAATATATGCTAATGAGTACAAAAAACCAGACCTGTCAACACTTAGTATCTATTAGTGCTGCGAGAAGGCACCTAAACAGCCGGTAATGGCAGTGGGAGCAAGTAGCACAAACTCCCTATCAACATCTCTGAACAAACAAGTAGACTACGGAAGAAATGGAAAAGTAGGAAGCGGCTCAAACGAAGGTACAGTGAGTTTTATATCACCCACGCGCGATCCTTATCCGGCCGCTAGTATCTACGGCAGATGCAAAAGACTGAACTTGACGGTAAAGGAGGCACATCTCATTTTGAGTACACAAATTAAGAAAATGCAATATATAGTGTAACGCAAATGCAAACGCGTATATAAATTTGTGGGCTCATTCCTCCATGTATCCACACCCTTCACTGGCACTGACGATTAGTGCTGCCTACGTCAGAATCGATGTACCGCATCGCACCGCAACGCGCTTTCGTAAATACCAGCTGCAGCTGTACAAACGTCCACTACACACGATACATTCTACCTGCATGGAAGGCATAACAACTTGGATGGTGCGCCTGTTACCGAGTAATTGTGAAAAGATATAGAGAAAAAGGTGGATAGCGACTTTCTCCTAAAACATGTACATGAAAACCATTAAAGGGCACAAAACACCACAACAACTAACTAACTAAAACCCATCCTTACCCATCATTTCACGGTGTAACAGCAAGGCCGAATTCCAAATTGATTGTACTTCAGATGTCTCATTGCGTATCAGGCGCGACATCAAAAACAAACACATTCCCCCCAACTTCAACTTTCAAATCATCATTGACGCCAAGGAAATGTGATAAATTAGAGAAGTCTTTACGTTTCATCAACAACTTGAGCCTGTACACCTATAATTTACCTGTTAAAATTGCCAACATACGTCTCACGACGTAAAAATACAGCAATGGAGAAAGCAGCCAATCAGGTCCAAGCAGATAATTAAAAGAAGCAGATGCAAAAAAATATATAAAAGAAGTTAAAATTTAATAATATGACTAACGTTATATCAATGAATAATTATTATTATCATTGCTGAGCGAATCATTTGGTTTTGTGTTAGCCATGTAGTATGGGTAGAAGTTAAAGTTAGACGAAGGGTCAAAACTAAAGTCGCCTCTCTGAGGACCTATCTATCTAATACTTTGTCTATTTATTCAACTATCCACTGCTCTAAATCTTTTCCTGCTTTTGAAATGCATAACAGTCAGTGCAGACAGCATGCAATAGATCCTTGAGGCTGGCCGGGATGGACCTCTCCACAATGCTCGCAGGAGGTATTCAAATAGTGAAAAATGAATCCCTTCGAATTGCCAAGAAGATAAAAGTACGTACCTTGTTTAAGCGGATAGGCGGAAAGTTAACGGATGGAGGTGAAAAAATAACACTAGGTTGACACATTGTTTAATTCGCTAGTGCCTATGCCGATTAACGTTCAAGGGGAGAGGGAGGAGGGTGTCAGGTTTAGCATCTCTTAAAATGCACATATGCTAGTGCAGATAAAATGCAGCAATGCCGAAAGTCCAAAATGCGCATAAAGCACCCATCAAAGACTAAGTAAAGCACATCACGTCGACACGGGACAACCGTGTTAACGCCCCTTCTTATGCCCTCAAGGCTGTCTTCCCAACAAGTGCTGGAGGTGGTGATTCCGGCAACTAAGTAGAATATCTGTCACACAAAACTTTTTTCTAATTACAGGATTCTGCAAGTTGGAATTGGTAGGTTGACTGTTAAACATCTCCAAATTCAAGCAAAGGACATGTCGATAAAGTGCCATAACAGCTGTCGATCGGAAGGTCAAAGTGAAGAGATAAGGTGTAGGAAACTTGCCCGAACAAAAATATGCAGCACATTGCTAGTCTTTCATGCTGGCCTTCAGTGAAGTAGAAGGAACTTGGCTAAGGCGCAGTATTGCTTCACCTAGACAATTGCTTTGCAAGAGAAAGAGACCCAAGTCTGCTATCAAAGCAGTAAATTATAAACATGCACTGGACCTCCTTTGCCCAGAAAAATGGGATAAATGGTTCCACTACTTCAAGTGATGATGATTAAATTTGGGGAGGAAAACTAGCCTCTGAAATCTGCTTTAGAACCATGGCCATACTACTAAGATTTCAACATGAAGCTCTCGAAGGAGCTGAAAGGCGCGTTTATCGTTTGTAACTTCTGACCTCTCCAGAGGCTGATTAGGGGGGAAATGAGGAGGGCATATAACAGAGAGATGGAAAGAGGTGTAAAACTTTTAGGGAATCGGGTTAGTCAGTGTACTCTTATTTGCCTCGATTTGCGTCTTTTCCTTAAATCACCCATTCGTCCATTGATTTCAGTGATTTCTTAAAGCACAACAGACGTTCGTGCTGGTCGACTAACGCGGATGAGTCGCAGTAAAGAGGCGTATTCTGAGAGCACCGGCAACCCAAGCCCATGTCACCCACACACCCAAGTCATGGCGCCTGCTGATTGATAAAGGGAAGCATAAAGCAAATGCATTACTGTTTGAAAGGTTTGTTGCAGAAAATGGTCACGACCATAGCGACTTCCCGCAAAATCCACCTCTACAGGAACGGTTGCAGATGGGATTGACACAGCCACATAAAATAAAGGACGTTAGTTCGTGCCTAAGCATCTGCATCGTCTTTTTACTAGCAAGTCCTAGCCGAAAACCCCTTTTGATAGCAGCACTGATTTTCCTAATGCGTTAAGTGGAATCCACAATTTGCGTTCAATCCCCATCCCCCTTAGAATTAAACACCCCAAATTCAACAGATTTCTAGCTAGTGCGTTGTTATTCATTCTATTTATTAGTCATTTATGGTGCTACAAAATGAAAAGGTTCTTGTCTATTTGACTTGCATTACACCACAGGTACACACATGACGTTTGCACGATTTTGTTGTAGAAGCACGTGAAATCGAGACTTTGCTCCCTTAAATTATCACTTTGAACTATCACTGACATGTCATGAGCTGATAAATATGCTTTTCGTTATTATTTCACTACCAGTGGTCCCCGCCAAACCCCAATCCAATCCCACCCATTTTCAGCTCGTATGCTATTCTCGTCAAGCAACGACTACTGAGTACCAAGTCAGTAGCGTTGGCGTTGCAGCCCAAAATTCAGCAGCTCCAAGGTGATGATGCTGCAGGCGCAAGGTAGCACATGAAATAATGGAGTTGTGACGGCAAATGTCCTCCTAGCTTCTTTACAGACAAACTGAGCCTATAAACCTTGAGGAAATTATGGAAGGACATCACATCGAGAAATCTATTTCGGTATGTGTCCTTGGCATGGAGTCTCCTTGCAGATACCATCTCACCGATCGCTCAATTTTGCAGTAGTCAAATCCACCCATCCATCGCCATCGAGGATATCGGTTTCACTACTTGTTCTTAATGGGTATAATTCTCATATCCGCACATGTCTGTGAGGTGACAAAAAATGGTTATGATAAGGGAAGTGGAAACCCTTTCCCTAGCACTGCAACCGCAGCTCCCCGAGACTTCCTTGAAGACGAAAAAAGACAGTACTGGGGCAGAATGTATATATTCGGCATACAAAAGGGTACTAGGGCTACTAGCATGACCCTACCTGCCAGCCTACAGGGCGTGGTACAATCGCCAAGTCCAAAAGTGGCTCCTCGCCAATGCCGAGAGATAAACAACCATTGTATTACGCTACAAAAGATCAGAAAGCAAGTTGAAATCAGAAAATAGCGAACATTCCATGGGTCAAATGGCAACCCCATTGCCCAGATAAATCAATTTAAAATATGAACAGAAGCCACTGCGAGACAGTTAAGTCGAAAATAGTCGCACACCAGTCTGGTATAAATTACGCCTTTAGAAATTTTGGCCAACCCAATTTTACAACAGCAAACATGTGCTAAATTTGCAATGCACGCAGTGGTTACTTGTAATTGAAGGATTTTGTACAAATTAGCTCATTTTTCGAAAATGCTCCTTTGTTTTAATGCGCTCGTTTATTTGTGCCTATTTTAGTATATGCATGCGCATATCCATGTGTATGCAAGAGTATATATTGCTTTATTTGATAAAGCAATTTCAAAGAATCTCGATTCTCCAAAGACAAAACCGAATCATGTTAATTTAGTTTGCCGAACAATTCCTCAAGCGACCAACTTAGATTTTTGCAGTCTTGTATTCTTCGTTAGTTTTGACAACGTTAGGATTTTGGCTGGAGAGGCTCTATTTGTTTAAAATAGGAAAGTTGTGGTGAAAATTAGGCTCTGCTTAGTGCCAGTAGACCTTTAGACCTTTTATTTAACAGAAATATTTCAAATGGAGCACTATCTGATGAGCAGCAAGACATTAACTAGCAACGGCAGCTGCGAGTCTCGTCGTTGCTATCACTTCGCACATTGCTGAGCCGGAAATTGTTTTGCTATTCATGAGTTGGCGTTGTGCCTTTCGTGCCGTAAAAGGCGAAATGTACGTGTTTTTTGGGCAGCAACTAGCTTTTACCAGTTATCTTTAGATCTTTTTACAATTTATGCATGATAGAAGTTTCGTAGGATGTTAAATCCCATTTTGGACTGCTTCTAGCCGCAATTCTCTTCTTTATATTTCCAAACGTACAGGTTCGCGAGAAGCGTAGGACTGGTTGAGGGTCTCATTAGTCTGTCAGGGTTTGCTGCACTGTTGGTGTGGATATCGGTCTCTTCAGCAATAATGATTCTCGCGACTCTTGTCGCTCACCGCTTCCATCCACGTTCTGATGCTACGATGTCAGTCAGTGGCGGCAACGCTAATTCACTGGTAGCATACCGTCCACACTATGACTTTACCTTCCACAATCGCAAAGTCCCCCCAACAACTCGTCAACCTCCCGGAGAGCAGGGCAGTGAAGTCTTGTGACTGGACGGGAAGCATGGGAGATTCGAGGTGAATACAATGTTTCCTGTTTGAGAGGGGCACCAATGCAATACAAGGAGCGCTGATGCCTATGGTCGACTAAAATGTGTTCTTGTATGCAATTACCACGTGCCCAGTCACGTGGATTGTAGCGTTAAAAGTGGCATGCACCTCTTGTAGTTTGAACCCGCACAGATGGGTGCAATGAGAAAAGAACTTGCGTCTTGCTGTTTCGCCTTTTCCTGCAGCACAGCTTTATTGTGCTTCAATACCTCAGTAAAGCCATCTTTTTACACTTTTCCCCGCTTTAATCTACTTATCTACCTAAATACGTACTTCTGTTTCTAACAAACACCCACCAAAATAACAACATTCTTACGAAGGTAACTAGCACGGAAATGAAGTGCTGCAGGGCATGCCACACTTAGCCATTTTCCTTCACAAACCAATCGTTCGAATAAAGCAAACAATCTGATGGCACCAAACCACTTTTGCTAAAACGCTTAATGAAATAAGGAAAAATGGGATGAAAGGTAAGAACTAGTTTCCTTTTACTTGTGTCAGGAGAGAAGGCGCAATGCGTTAAATGTATGTCGAATAAGAACTGCAACAGTTTGACCAGTGAAATCGCCTTAGACGATTCGACGAGCGGATAGATAACAGTAAGGGGATATGAAAAGACTTCTTCCAATCAGGTGATTTACACAGCATAAATGCACCTGGTGACTATTCAGGGTCTTGACAATTCCATGGACTAAAATTTTTCACCAATGAGAAGTACTGTGCTTCCCGTTTCCTACCGGAATCTACAGTTAGTTGCGTCTATGGACTGTGCGTGGTGAATTGTCACTCGTATTGCGTTTCGGTGACTAGATACATAAGTACGCATTAAAGCCCTCATGTGCTTGCTTGACAATTCATTTACCCGCCCACGTCTATCTCAGTGCACTCCTTTACTAATTCTTCCATAACTTGGCATTAGACGACGAAACTTCTAAAGAGGACAGCAAGTAGAACTTCACTTCATACTTTTCATGCTATTACCTCAAGCATTTAAATAAAGAGCCTTGCCCTACCATTCCAGCTAGACCCGCGTCATTTAAACTACCTTCATGCTAGTTTGAAGTGATGGCTAATGGAAAAGGTGGTTATCGTAAACCTTTTGTAATTTTAAGATTTGTTAGTCGGCTAAAGATATGAGTATTGATGTATTTTTGAATCCTGTTTGCTTGTTTTCGTTAGCTGATGAGTCGACATATTTAACCGTACGATTATCATGTGTTTTGTCATTATCATTCTTACATACCTATATTCGTATTTATGCTGAAAATAATAATTTGGAGATTGGCGCCCCTGAGAATTGTTACTCAAATAATAAGTAGTACCTTCACCACGAAAAGGCCACGAGAAGTTAATGCTCTGGTGAAATGCGATTGTGCCAATAAGGCGTTGATAGGCTATAAGACCAGCTACGTGTCATATAATCATTTCAGCTGATCAACAGGGTTGATTGGTGGACAAA